ACTAGGGTTCCTTATATGAATCCTAATTCTCTGAAATGTGAAGGCTTGACACCTTCCGAGACAAGGGCCTTAACAATTTGAATAAGGCTTGGGGTATGCTATACTGTATTTATAATACCCTGGGACTCCAGTTAGCCCAAAGTAGGTACTATATTCATAGACTTTAGACCCCAAAGTAGGTACTATTTGTATACTTGGAGTCTTAGGGATAAGGAGCCCACTAAGGTTGCCACACACGTTCTTAGCGATCGATTCGGCACCGGGGGTAGACCGGGCTCGTCTTCCAGCCATCCACAGCCAGTCGCAGGCTCCATCGATGCAAGCCTTGTTAACGTAAGCCCATAAGAAGAAACCCCGAACCCAGGGACTTCAATAGCCCTTAACTACGGAATATACCTTGAACTGCAGCAGGCTCCCTAATATGATTTAAGGTATATTTGTTCAATCACTGCCATCTCGGGGTGTTAAAGTGAGCCCGCAAGAAGAAACCCCAAAACCAGAGCCACGAGGCTTCCGGATGTCTGTTCTTGTAGTGTAGCAGCCTCGTAAATAATCAGAATAGGGCTGCTATAAGGGCAGGAATAATTACCAAGACTCTCTTGGGGGTTCCTGATTGTCATTATAGTATAACATGCCCCAGAACCCTATTATTCTTGTTATCAAGGCCTCTATATAAGGGCTACTTGAAGGTTTCCACAAGGGCTCTATAAAGGCGTCCACGACACTCTGGTTGCTTCTACTTGGGTGTGCAAAGGGCGCTACAAGGCTTCCATAGAGGGTGCTGAGTTTGCGACGCGAGAAGTCGGTCGCTGAGACGAAAACGTAGGGTTTCGGTGCCACTAATTAGGGTTTTGCCTTACGACTTCTAGGCTGGGAATGTACCGGGTCCAGAGGCTTACAGACTTTCAGGTGTGAATGGCTGTTGACATCAGAAAGCTTCAGAACAGAAGACTTCACAACCCTACTTGGAGGATCATGGGAGTTAGTAAGTAAGGTTATAAGTACCCTAATTGGGGCTAGAAGCATAGATACCCTAATACTAACTATAGTTACTAAGTCCCATGATCTTTTAAACCCTAAACCTCCTTTAAACCCTAAAACCCCCATAGATCCCTTTATCGATCCCTTTAAGGAACCCTTTAAGTTACTAAGTCCCATGATCCCTGAAGTAGTTTCATCGAAACAGGGCCTCATCCGGACCTGCGCCGACTGCTCCCTTACTGACGCAAACGAGCAGAAGTACCCAAAGAGGAAGAGTCCGACAAGTATCGTAATGTAGGGCCAGAGAATCTTCAGAATAGGATTTCTGGGGATATTAGACTGTATTGTTTTAATTGATGGGGAACTGCAGGAACAGTGCTGGTAAATATTCAGGCTTCTCTGTTTCTTGACAGCTTAATGTTACGGGTTGAATGTATAGGGCCTCATGTCTGAGAGCAGGGTGTCTAGGCTTCTACAAACGGGTTCTGATAGAGAATTTGCCGCTTAGGATGCGGGGGCGGGGTTCTGCATAGTAAACCTTCCCTAAACCCTAAACCCTAAACCCTAAAACCCTAAACCCTAAACCCTAAACCCTAAAACCCTAAACCCTAAACCCTAAACCCTAAACCCTAAGGATATGTAGCTTCTCAGACCTCTGCGACTGCTGGGCCTTAGGGGGGTTTGACGTAGGGTTCCCACGAGTTTAGGGTAGTGCAAAGTTCATTACATGCCAGGTTATTACATGCCAGGTTCGCCAACATACCCGTGTTAAGAAGGGTATCCTTTTCCTGGGCGATTATCCTAGTATCCACTCAGTTGTACGAACTTGCTCCAAACACCTGAGGGCCAATACCCGTCAATTTCCAGATTGGCCTTTAGTGTTCGGGGGCCAACAAGGCTGAAGGGCCTAGGCGTTGATCGGGCAGCTTAAACTTTACAGTTTAACACCTGTTCCAAGAAGCTACTAAGCTAAGGCTTATGAATCTAAAATTATGGGGTCATTATCTACAGGCGGACTCTTGCTGAACACGGTGCGGAAAACGTGCCGGCATGTCTGTGATTGACATGCCGAGTTCCCAGAAGTCCAAGCAGAGTCAAAATGGGGGCCATGTTGCATGCTCCCTACAAGCCCCCAAGAGTCCACATACTCACACAGTATATACTTTTCCATCAAAGTGATCTCCATATAGGTACTGAGGGGCAAAAGTATATAGTACGTGGGTATATGAGCGTTCGTCACAGCTTCTTATTCATGGCCAAACCATGGATGCTCTTGTGAAAGTAAGACTAAGTAAGAAGACCTATTCGTAGCTTGCCCTGCCCTTTGCCCTTTACTGCTCTTTACCGTCTATTATTGCCCTCTACCTGCTCTTGACTGCTCTTCACTGCCTTTTACTGCCCTTTACGGCCCTTTACTGCACTTTACTGCCCTTCACTGCCCTTGACTCCCCTTTACTGCCCTCTGCTGCCCTTTACTGCATGGAGCAGTGGCTCATAAACCGATCTGGTAGGTATCGATTAGGTTATCGATCGCCTAGCCACCTATCACACGGAAAATTTCGTCACAAATCAGTGGCTAGACAAAAAAGTCTCAACAGATGATCTTCGTTGATCGTATCGCTTTTGGGAGGTCCTATATCTTTCCAAGCAAATTGGCAAGATCCGACATTCCACGGTCACCATTACCCTTAACTACGATTACCGAAGTTTTGCCGGATGCTCACATGAACCTTTCAGGGTCTTAACTTAGCCGCCGGAGAGATAGGGACGGGTGTATGGGTACAGTATTTGAAGCTTCAGAATGTACGAGGGTAAGATGCTAAGGGTTCGGGGCAGTTCCTGTTCAAACAGAAATTTCACTTACTTCTTATGTAGGGATGGTTTCTGGTTCAGGAGAATGCAGAAAGTGAGGGGGGGCAGGGTCACCTCCGAAAATTGAAGGTTCGGTGGAGGACCTGTTTGTTTTCTCAACTGCTGCAGCACCTAACCGTAAGCTTGCCCAAAAGCCTAAACCCAGCTTCTGCATTCCCTTGTGTTGTCAAACCTGTATGGGTTGTGGGTTCAGCGTTTAGGGTGGTGTTTGGTGGGCGACATGCACCCGCTTGAACCTCTCGAAATGGGAACGAGCGCCATTTGTAGTCTCCATTGTACTTCCTTTTTCTGTTACTTTAATTATAGGATCCTCAACATTGATATTGTTGCTACAATGGAGACTATAGCAATCGTTCAATTACATGTGCTGACCAGCCGACCGACAGCTACCCGACATAGTTAGTTGAGGGAAGCGGTTCAGATTGGGGTGTGGGGCCTGAGTGAACCCCAACCTAATCCAGTGTATATCCGCATGTGTGCATACATGAACAAATTACATAAATACACATACGTAATTATTTTCATGGCCACTTAACTTATGTATTTGCTTTATGTGCTTTCGCATTGTCTTTTAGACCGCCTTGTGTGTGTGTGTGCATGGGTGTCTAGAGTTTCTTGGGAGGGGTGTAGCTTTCCGCACAGTGAACGGCCGAAATGGCTAGATCTGGGCTTGGGACTTACGGATAAGCAACGCTGCCAAGAAGCCGTATTGTTTAGATACCAATCCGAAGCCCTGAATACAGGTGCCTCCGTGAACAGGGTTTGGGGTATATTATAGCTTTGATATGGTATTCTCGCAATATGCATACTAGAAGTGGTAGTATTGGCTCATTCTCCAGACTCAGATAAAAAAGGCGCCCCCAATGTAAGCCTAACAGTGTACGAGCCTAGGCTAACCCTAAGCGCGAAGCCCTAACACTGCTACGGCACAAAAAAACCTACCTTAGTATCTACCAAACCCTACAATTTTTGAAAGGTTCTTCTTTATACACCCTAATATGGAATGTTCACGGACCCTACGAAAATGTAAGTTCTGGTGGGTTAAGGTCGACTCCCCAACATCTCCAGCCAGGCTTCAGTCTATTAAAAGCCGTATGACACACCTGAAAGCCCCGATATGAAACCCTTCCAAAGCTGCACGTGCCAAAACGGCATCAAACCTTTAAGGGAACTCTTACAAGAACCCCCATAAGCACTCTTATAGGATCCTTATAGATCCCTTTCAAGGAACTCTTATTGGAACCCTTATAGGTCCCTGTAAGGCATACCTCTAGAGACAGGCCCCATGACAGTCCCTTCTGTACCTTTAAGGGGTGCCTTCAGGAGGGTTCCTTTAAAGGAACTCCTACGGGAGCTCCGATAAGGCTGGAATCTCCGAGGACGTCGGCGAAGAACTTCCTTGCTCGCTGGCCTCCCGGAGGAGGTGAGCGATGTCCGGCCGCCCGTGGGTTAAGGCCACATCCTTGAAGCTCGGTTGAGGGTTTAGGGCTTTGGGTTTAGGGTTTAGGGATGCTTAGGGGAGATGGGGCATTATCGAGTCTTATGGGTACTATACGTGTAGAAGTACTAAAGCTTGAGATAAGAGTTGATGTCTTATGGCCACTGCAGTGCCCATGCCATACAGTTAGTTAGAGATGGACCTGGCATAGGGGATCTGTTGAAGTCTTCCGGCTTCAGGTAGTAGAGTGTGAGGGCTCTAGGGCTTGGGTTTAGGGTTTAGTTTTTTTTGGAGCTCCTTTTCTCCAGTGCCCCGAAAGGTCTGAGAGGGTTTAGGGTTTGGGGTCTAGGGTTCATTACAATGAGCTGTGACTCACATGCAGGACGATGAAGGATATAAACTATTGTCGCTGATGACTCCTGTAAACAAACACTGATGACACACGCACACATGCAGACTAAGTCTTTGCATCACAACCCCGAGCAAACAGCACACAAATGAACACAAGCAAACGGCAAGCGCAATCCAAGCCCATAGGTATAATACACAAGCTAAACCCAAGCAAATGAAGTTCGTGCAGCCCCATGGTGAGTAAAACTATTCTAATCAAAAAGCCTACCAATAAACACAAGCCCTAAGGGTCCATGTACCCATATAGAGATACATGGGCCCCAATGTACCTATATAGGGACTGCATTAAGGCCAAATA